AAAATCAACATGGCGGCTTTCTTACAAAAAAGAATGTTCTCATTCTTCGTTCGTTCTAGCGGCCTAGTTATCCGCCAGTCTTTGCCGGGAAGACATAATCCAAGTCTTAAGAAGAAAAAGGGCCCAACCGTTGTTAACAAGAAGAAAAATCAGCCGGTATTTCGCAAACCGACCGAAGTTGTTCCGCCCGTGGACAGCGAGTCCTTGCTAAATCCTGCGTTGCTAGAAGCACCAAGAATAAGAAAACCAGTCAAGTTATCGTATGAAGAGCAGGAGAGAAGAACTTTGTTGTTAAAACAGTGGTCAAGATACAAAATGAAGCAACATAAGGAAGAACTGCAGCGTATTCAAGAGCTGCAACGCTGTCGCGAAGAAGCTTTAAAAGAACTGAAGAAAACCTCGTTGTTTCTTTATCACGAGGCGATCAAAGTCAACCACGATTTCTTTCCAATTCAGTTTAAAGGGCCAACAGAGACGCCACCAATTCCTGGGTACATGGCACCCGATATGGAAGAAAATAAAGGAGACAAAATGAAAGTTAAGGCCAAGAGCTGAACCCCGATTGCAAATTGAATGAATGAAAACTTGAGAAGTTACTGAATCCCCCGGCTGAATCCCAAGAGAGAGTTGCTCATTTTTCTTTAATACTTCTACAAATAAAACTACGGAAATCAAGTTTGTTTAGGCTCTGGTTAGATTATTGGACCAATTGTTGTAAGGCATTTTGCAGCTTATTGACACAGCATTGAAACGCAAAGTTGGATTGTAAACACAACAGCACTGAAGACACCTGCAAATACATTAGTACAGTACAGTTAGTCAGATGACTTCCTTATCAAGGCATGAAATGAATGTTTTTGAACTCTGATTAGAGTAAGGCATACCCCTGCCTGACTAAAAAGGACCATGGATTCCAACAACAAGAAGTAATAATATTATTATTACTGTAATGTTACTAGATAACAGTTTCTTGCCATGCAGTTAGCCAAAAGGCTGCCAAGGTTTTTCTATAATTTTCAAATGGATTGTTTTGTGTATACAACTCAATGCCAATATTTAGTGTGTTTCAGTAATCTGTAAATGATTACTATTTTATTCTCAAACTGAGCAACGTCATCAAGGCTGTGCTCTAAGAAAAATTGAAGGGAGCCCAGTGCTCTGAACTTGTGAAGTCTGTGATTTCTAAGAATAAAACCAGGATTTTCCAGTCACCTAGCAAAAGTTAGGTGTCTATGGGCCACTGGGCACTGCTAGAGCACAGCCTTTATCAGTCTTCATATATTTTGTATATACAGGGCCCGCGGAGCAGATTTTCAAGTGGGAGGGTTGATGCGAACACATAAGTGTGAGCAAACTAAGGGGGTCTGGGGGCAATGAATGTCCCCCAGGAAAATTTCAAATTTAAGTCTTCTGAAATGGCTATAAATGCATCTAAAACTGCCAATAGTAAAATAAATTTGTAATTATTACATCGGCACATAAAAACAACAAGTTACAACCTGGCCCCCACATTAGACCAAAATTTAAATGAACAGAATTTGAAGCTAAACCAACACACACAACGGTAGAGTGTCACCCAGACATTTTTAAGTCGGATTTTCTGAAAATGCCAAGGTTGCCTTTCTAATTGTCATTAAGAGCTACAAACTCATTGGCAACAGCTACAAGACAAAGTTTGTTTGTTCTCTGTTTGTGGGTGTTCAGTATTTTCAGATTACTAAACCTTGTTTGTGTGGTAAGTGACAGATCTGGATAACCAAAGTAAAAAAAAATTACTTTACCATCTGAAAAAGTGTTGAGGAGGGGGGGTGCTAAAGTTCCCCCCCCAGCCCCACCCCCTTCGCGGTTCCTGATATATGTATGCCTGTGTGCATGCTGGCAACTTTTTCTTAGTTGTGCGTTTATAATAAAATTTAAACGTTAGTATCTGAATTTTGTAATATGACACTTTTACCATTTTCCAGGCACCCAGAAGAAAAGGTTTAAATGTACTTGAAATATAGGTGTTGTGCAAAAAAGTAATGCTGTGCCTTCATTTGCATTGTAATAGGGAAAAAGGAGGATGGGTTGGTAAGGATGGCTTCTTCATTAAACAAAGATGAATTTAATTTCTTTTAATGAAAATTTAATTGTGTTCTCTTAGACCAAAAAGTAGCCTGTCTCATCACATTTTTTCCTAAAAAGTTATTGTCATATTATAATGCTGTAATAGAACCTTTTTTATATCACTGATTAGATGTAGTTTAAACACTGGAAGCAAAGCAGCATATTGGTTACCGTTGAAATGTCTTTACTCATTTCCGATGATTTGCAAAAGTTTCTGATTCCAACTGAAGACCAGTCACCACTTAAAACATTAATAATTAAATATTATAAATAATTATCATTTGATTATGGAATCAGAAGGAACTACCAGAGATATAGACAAAACAAGTATTCCATCTTTGCATTAAAGCTCTAAAATTGATGCATAGATGATTAATAATGTCATCTTTTCTTTCTTGGAGGCCTGTACTCTGATATATCATGGTCTTCGTAATCTTCACGACTGTGACCCTCCCTACAAGGAAAACAACAATCAAATTTAAATTATCAATAAAAGGGAAAAGAATAAATTGATGTATGCACAGAAGCAATCATACAGAAAACAAATATGTCTTACTTATAGCATCTTCGACAATACAAGTCATCATCACAACCATGGCATCTCAGTACAGCATTTCCATTACATATACAGCACCAAGGTAATTCATCATCATCATCATCACTGTTTGCTTCGTAATCCTTACTGAATATACTGCTAAGCTTTGATGGAGTACTGGCAGAGTTGAAATCTGTAGGCTATGAACAGATGTAAGATTGGTTAGCAAGGCCAACAAGTCGAACCTAACTGACATAAATAACATGATTAAAATTTATTAATATTCATTAATAAAAAATCATTAATAATTATTCAAAAATTATCAATTATCAATGATTATTAATGTTTAAGTTTTAAGTAATGTAACTGTTAAAAATTTAGTGCCAAGCATCTATTCTATTTTTAATAAGTGGCTAGTCTGCCATTATGCTGAGCCAATAAACAAAAACTCAATTTCTCTACAGCACCTTGAAAAAAATCCAATATTCCCTAGTGCCTATCTAAAATTCCTTCTAAAGTTCCAGCATAATTATGCAGGGTACCCAGAGGTCATGAGAGATATATGTCTATGTTGTGGTTAAATTTTATCCTTGGTTTAAATTTTATTTTCTTTTGTTTCAAACTCAATATCATACATTACCATACCCCAAAACAAAGGGAAAGAATATTTACACAAGGATAAAATTGAGCCACAACATTAATTTTACACTCTTGTACCTACCCTTGATTTTCCTGGTTTTTGGGGTTTGCTTGACTTACTGGAGTTACCTATTGTATGTTCACCTGTTTATGGAAATAAAATGTTGTTAAAAATGAGGTTTTTTTTTCAAATTAAAACAGACATAAATATGGGATAGTTTAAACAAAAGTTTGCTTTAACTGTGAACTTAAACAGTAAAACAAAAGACTACAGAATGTTTGCTCAAGCTTAAAAGAAAATAGAGAAAGAACTGTGACATATGTTGCCACGTTCAATAAACTTGCTTTTATAAGGCCTTTACCCTTGTAAAAACAGCCCTTGAAAAGGTGCTCAACTGGGCCATGATTAGTTACTTTAAACCTTGATAAACCATAACCGCACAAAAAATAATACGTATGCCTTGAAGAATAAGGGAGAAAGAGAGGAAGAATAATAAATTACAAAATATTGTGTGAGACAAAGAAGAAACATATGGAAATTCAACGTCTCCTGTACCATCCCTTCCATGGCTGTGACCAGAGAGCCTTCTTTGTCAGGGGATGTCCTGTGAACACCATCTTGGAATTACAACTGATGGCTTGAGAGCTAGAGAGTAATTTCTGGGCAAAATAATTTGGAAAAATTTTCAGCTAAAAGACTTCATTTTTCAAAATGTTTAGAGGATGTATGTCTCCAGCCCCCCTCCCCTCCTAGGAGATCTCTAATGAATGCTGATCTCTTCTAAACTTGAACGCACATTGGCGCCTGCGTATACCCACTTCAACAACAGTAGACATCACTTTATTCACTCACCAATGTCATCAGTTTTTAACTCCAATGCTACTTCTCCTAAAATCTTAAGAAAAAAAAATCACATCAATGTTATTTAGCAGTTGCTTAACCTGATCTGTGTATTTTCATGGTGAAGGAAAAAAAAACCATCATTCACCTCGACCAGCTATATTCCCGATAAATATCTGACCAGCAGTCACATTTACAAGGTTTCAAACAGTGTGTGTTTTTACAAATTTAACAATTTTCTGATTACAACCACTTAATGTACAGATAACAAGAGCATCACAAAAACAAATCACTGACAATAAAGTGTCATTTTGTTGATGACCAGACTTCTAAGAAGAGGTACCTGTTTAAGGTATCGTTGACTTGCTGTTTCATCATCTTCATCACTGTCAAACTCCCTCCCTTTTGGTTGATTTGTAAGACCTAATATGTTAAGAAAACATCCACAGTTGAAAACACAATAAACAGCTCAATCAACAAACAGAAAACTCTCAAAAGTGCAGATTAGACAAAAGAAGGGTACTGACATGCCGTTTTACTAAAATGTGTTCTGTCTAACAATGTCTGTAGAATATAAAAGAATTAAAGCTAAAATATTTTCCCCTCACTTGGGTCCAAGTCTTTTAGTTTTGCAAGTCTTTCTTCAATTTCTTTGTCTGTAATTCTAGTTGTGCTTTTGTCATGATCCTCATCAAGCCTTGTTTCTGCTACCATTTGCTTCATTAAGTCATCAATCTCCTCTGCTTCAGATTTTTTTGGTTTAGGAGCATTGATCTACAGACAAACAAACAAAAAAAGCTTTAAGTATGGTACGATCAGTACCAAACAAAGTTAACTAATCTTCCTTTTTTTAACAGCTGATAATTACATCTGAATTCT